ACTCTGCTCAAGTCTTTTGTCTTGAGGCTATCTGCACTATCACTTTGTCCCATATTGTAAGGGTCTACATCACTTGATCTATCTTCCTGTAAACCAAACCTTTAACTGGACGCCAGAGACCTCCTTCACCCCTGGGTCTGTCTGCTGTAGTTAAAGTTTGCTTTGTTGAACATTACCCACCATAGCTAAAGCGACTTCCCTTTGAGTACCATTTGCCTGGTGTATCTCATTATCCTTTGGCTTTCAACCTCCCCACACAATTACATTAGGAGAAAGTTTTATGATCGACATAACTGAATATTTAAACTGCTTTTAGCATGCTCACCTTTAATAGCAGGCTTTGTTCACTCTACTCACTGGGCTGTGTTTCAGTTTAAGTCTAGCATTTTATTGGGTATTATTTGTCTTATTTTTGCAATCCTTTCTTCCTTGCTTTTGGGTTGAACATTTTATTTTCCATTTCTAAATTCCATTTTTCCCCTCTTCCAGCTTACATGCTGTACTATTATGCAGCTCTGAAGGTTGTTTAACTAGCACTGTTAGGTAAATAAATACACCAGTATGGTCACTTTTCTCCAAACCAGTGCAGAAAGCAGGAAATAGAACTTGGGGTTAGAGTACTTGCTTAGCATGTACAATTCCCTGTGTTCCATACCCAGCATCACACACACATACCATGCACACTACATTACACTACACACACACATACACACACACACACACACACACACAGAGAGAGAGAGAGAGAGAGAGAGAGAGAGAGAGAGAGAGAGAGAGAGAGAGAATTTCATTCATTCACTAAAATATGTCATTTGGATCATTTTTCCAATATTCATTTAACTCCCTCATGTTATATTTAATTGAAGTATTGCACAGTTTTTTTATTTCTTTAGTGCTGGAGATCAGACCAGGCTTGGAGATTCAGCAAGTGCTACAGTGCTAAGCCGCATCCCTAGATTTCACTTCCTGCTCTGTTTTTTATAGATCCACCCGCATCACAGACTCAGGTACATCCATTAGCAGTTCCTTTAGAAGGGTCTAGTGATGGTACTGTGTTCTTCATCTGAGTGTACTTATTTTGCTCTTGTTATTTAAACAATAATGTGAAAAAAATTTTAGAAAGTCAAATTTTCTTTGATTGTTGAAATATTATTCCACAGTGTCCTGGCTTCTATTATGTTTTTGCTACTAATGGGTAGCTGTTAGTATAATTGTCCCTCTTCCCCCTCCCCTCTTCCTCTTTTCCTTCTGATAACCTGAAGTTCATACTGAAACATCTATGGGCATTTCTTTATATTTATTCCAGATGATTATTATTTTTTAGGGGGGGGGAGTCTTTCTTAATCTTGTCTGCTGACTTTCAGAAATTCAAGAAAATTCTTAGCCAGGCTCTCCTCCAATCTTACTTTTTGCTCACTCTTTGTTCCACTCTGGAGCTCTAATCATGCTTAGAGCAGGGCTTCACGTTCTCCCGTATCTGCACATCATCCATGCTTTTCTTGTTGTACCACAGATGAGAACAGATCTCAAGTCAATCATAGATCAGTCTGACGCCTTCAGTTTTAATTCACACTTCAGTCATTTATTCCAGGAGAAAATATATTTGTAGAGAGAAAGGGTCTCACTCTGCAGCCGAGGCTGACCTGAACCCACTCTGCAGCCCAGGCTGACCTGAACCCACTCCGCAGCCCAGGCTGACCTGAACCCACTCTGCAGCCCAGGCTGACCTGGACCCACTCTGCAGCCCACGCTGACCTGAACCCACTCTGCAGCCCAGGCTGACCTGGACCCACTCTGCAGCCCAGGCTGACCTGCACTCACTCTGCAGCCCAGGCTAGCCTTAAATTAGCAGAGATCCTCCCACCTCTACCTCTTGAACACTGAGACTACAGGTCCAAGGTATCACCCCTGGCTTCACTGTCAAGTGATTTGATAATCTGCTTAAGTTTTTCCATCAAGAAGGTATTTGTATCATCATGTTGCCTGCATGAGAAATAAAAGCCCATGATTCTCTGACTTGCTCTCCCTCTGGGCTTCACTGCACCATGTCACTGAGATTGCTTTTGTCAAAGCCACCAGAAATCCTCAGATTGTCCGTGGACATTCCGCCCTTGGTCTCTCTTCTACTTGTCAGCGGTGAGTCTCCCCCTTCTCCCGAGGCCCTTAGACCTTCAGGGTTGCTTCCTCCTCTTGTTTTCCTCTCCCCTCACTGGCTATGTCTTCCTGGTACCTTTTGCTGGGTTCAGCATCTCCCTGATGTCTCTAAGTACTTGGAATTCCCGAAGCCTCCATCTCAGTCTTCCTTCTTTGACTATCTCCACTGTTTTGGGCATTTCTAATGCTTCAAAGAGGTCTGTAGAATTGGTGGTGTAGCTCAGTTGTAGAAAACTTGCTTAGCATGTGGGAGTCCCTGGATTTCATCCAACTTATTTAATTAATTGATTGGTTTAAAATAATGATATGCCAGGCATAGGGACACATACTGGTCATCTTATCATTTGGGAAACTGAAGCAGGATAATAATAAACTCCAAGTCCACAGAAGCTACATGTTGAATCCTTGTGCCAAAATAACACAAAGAAACTAAGTGCTAATAACTGCTGGTTTTACATTTTAAGCCTCATCCCTCAGAAATTCAGGATTCTATGTAACAGCCTGTATGAGTTACTTTTCTCATTGCTATGACCACATAGTGGACAAGAAGCTACTTGAAGGGGTTTGTTTGGGTTTACATTTTGAGAAGGTGTGGTAACTGTGAGGCAGTTGGTCATATTGCATCTACAGCCAAGAAATAGAGAGAGGCAGGTGAATGCTGGTGCTCAGTCAGTACTCTCCTTTTATTCAGTCCAGGACCCCAGCTCCTGCAATGGTGCTGCCTACTTTTAAGGTAGGTGTGGTAGTTCAAAGGAAAATGGTCCCCAAAGGGAGTGGCATCATTAAGAGGTATGGCCTTGTTGGAGTAGGTATGGTCTTGTTGGAGGAAGTGTGTCACTGTGGAGGTGGGCTTTGAAGTGTCATATTTGCTCAAGATACTACCCAGTGTCACAGTTGACTTCATGTTGCCTGCAAAATATAGGACTTTCAGCTATTTCTACATCTGCCTACATGGTGCCATGCTCCCCGCCTTGATGATAACGTATTGAACTCTGAAACTATAAGAGAGCTACCCCAATCAAATGTTGTCCTTGTAATAGTGGCTGTGGTCATGGTGTCCCTTCACAGCAACAAAAACCCTAACTAAGACAGTGTGTCTTCATTCTTCAGGTAATCAACCTAGAAACTTTCTCACTGACATGCCCACAGGCTTGTCTCTGGTAATGCTAGATCTTATCAAGCTGCTAATCAATACTAACCATCACACCTGGTTGATATCTCCCTTAGATGTCTAGGGTCTGCTAAATGTTCAAGACAAATTCCTCTCCCATTTCCCACAATATAACAGTCTTACCCAGTTTTTCCCTCACATCTATAAATGGTGTTATTATTTGTCTCACTGCTAGAGGCTACTAGGAATTTTTCTCATCCCCTTATATCCCTTATTCAGCCCATGTACTGGTCCTGTGCAGAATTATCCTGAATCTGATCACTTCTTTTGTATACCATCCAGGTCAAGCACAGCACTGTCTGTCAGATGGACAATGCTAACCTCCCCCAGGTACGCCCCTTGGCTTCCATTCTTGTGTCCCCATCCCCAAGGCACCATTCCCTGCAACAGACCTCCAGCCAATGTCTATTCTCCACCTGCAGAGCTATCTGCAAGCATGAATCAAACCATGCATTGTCTTCAGAATTCTTTCATCTAGATGAGGACCTGAGCTTACTAAGGTTAGCAAGGGCTCTGTTAACCACACTTTCCCTCTTCCATGCTTCTCTCTCTTCTTGTGCCTCTGCCACCTTGGCTTTGTCTTCGTCAAGCCCACAAAATATAACCAACCCCCACTGCTTTTACTCATGTCTTTTCTGCCCCTGGGGTTCCCATGTCTCATGCCTTTCTGTGGCACACTCCATTACCTACCTATTCACTCTTCTGATCAATATGCCCTTTCATAGGATGGCCTTTGCTGATCTCCCATCACACCAAGTCTTGGCTTGAGTCTCTATTCCTTAATCCTGACTTTTCTCCAGTGCCTTTGCATCTCTGTGAGAAGCTGTACAGTGTGTGTCATCTGTTTGCTTCCCACTTCCTTGTCTTGCTTTTATGCAGGGACTTTGCTCATCTCTGTCATTCTCCTCTCAGCCCCTGGAAACTTGGTGGGGCTCCTGATGGATGCTCACTGAACACTTGCTGAATTACAGAATGCATCTCACTTGACTGTCATAACAGTGAGTGAGAGAGGAGAGTCTTCCAATCTTCCAGATAAAGGAAACCAAGGACTTGAGATGTTAAATGTCTTAGTCTTATAAGTTATAAGACTTATATCTTAACTATATAGTCCTGGCTGGCTTCGAACTTACAGAGACCCGTCTATCTACCTCTGCCTCTTGAGTATTAGAATTAAAGGCATACACCACTGTGCACAGCCCTCATTTTGACCTTCAAAAATTTATTTATTTGAAAGTATTTAAGATTTAACAAAAGTTACGAAAACAGCATAAAGAGTTTCTGTTTACAGTTACCTGACCTTCCAAATGATAACATCTTGTCTAGCCACAGTACATGATCAAACACCATGAGTTATTATTGATGTAGAAGCAGTAACTAATCCATCGACCTAACATGACCTAGCCTAAGTTACCCCACTCACATCCTTTTCCTGGTCCAAGATCCTACCTAGGAGCACATAGTCCGTTCACATGTCACATCTCCTGAGGGGCCAGGGCTTCCCTCATGTTTCACAGCCTGCACACTGGTGAAGAAAGCCACATTAATCACAAGGCTAGTCCCTTGAAGTACCAGGCCCATGGTGAGCTTTCTTCCACAATCGCTTCTGTTAAAGATGTCAGCATCCTTCCTTTCGAGGGATGCAAGGGGATTGGCCCTGTGCTTTGTGTTCATTCAGCCTGGCTGACCTTGACATATTCATAAAGAGCACAGAGAGGGGTTTGCTCAAGAAAGTGGAGAAAGGAGATCTCCAAGGGTTGGTTGAGATCCTGGGGCACCTTGTCACCCTTAAAGAACGACAGAGCAGCACCGATGACATGTTTGAGCCCCTGAAGCAAACGATTGAACTGCTGAAGTCCTACGAACAACAGCTACCGGAAGCCGTGTTTAAGCAACTGGAGGTCAGTGCATCGGACTCTTCCTTACAAGACACAGAAGAAAAGTCTTGGGATTTTACCATGTAGTGGTAGAGGGGTCAAAGTAAATGAAGATTTCTTGGGGATGAGTCCAGACCTACGGTCCGTGTCTTAGAACTACAGTGTGTAACACATAAGTAATGTCTAGCACTTTGGGGAAACCATTGAATACTGAAAATTATTGTGGCAGAACTCGTAGGGATACAGATTTTACCCCAGATTTAAAGATAAGTCAACTCCTTTTGAAATTGGCTTTTACTATGTAGCCCAGACTTGGGATTATTTCTTCTTATAAGTCTCAGGTCACACTCCATCACTGAGGGAAGTTAGGGCAGGAACTCAAGGCAGGAACTAAAGCAGAGACCATAGAGACATGCTGCTTACTGGCTTGTTCCCTGACTTGCTAGGCCTGCTTTTTTTGTTTGTTCGGGGTTTTTTGTTTGTTTGTTTGTTTGTTTGTTTGTTTTTTGGTACCATACAGTATCATTTTCCCAGGGTCAGCACAGCATCCAGGGGACCATTCCATGTCCTTAATGTCCTTAATTAATCAAGAAAATGTCCCACAGACTTGCCTGTAAGTCGGTGTTATGGGGGCATTTTCTTAGTTGATGTTCTCTCTTCTCAAATCATACTGGCTTGTACCAATTTGACAAAAAAAAAAAAAAGCATCTAAGATATCTTCCTCGCCCTGTTCCCACTCTCTGATAAAAGGTTGAGCCAAGTGTTTGATTTGGGGGAAACAAGCAGATGTTAGTGATGTAAGAAGGTTTGAGAGAAGAAGCAGGAACTCAAGAAAATAACCAAATACCCTTGAGGACTATAGAAAAGGGCAAAGGTGACCAGGTCAGAAGGTGAAGGGGTGAAGGGCAGTGCTGAGTCAAAAGCACGTGACTGTGAAGAGCGAAGACAACCAGAGAGGTAAGTTGAGGAAGAGCGGAGTTGATGCACAGTTAAAAATGGCCCCAGTACATCCCAGGGTGCCCTACTGCAGGGATGGAAGCAGAGAGATGGGGTGCCCTCTCTGGCTATGGGGGAGGGGAGAGCATCATGGGTGTGAGCGCTCCTGGGTCTTCTTCTTTACAGGAACTTCCCGAGAAGTGGAAGAACATGAAGAAGGTGGCCATTACTGTGAGGCAGCAGGTGGTCCCGCTGCAGGCAAATGAAGTGGCCCTCCTCCGCCAGCGGTGCACGGCCTTTGATACCCAGCAACAGCAATTCCAGGAGAGGTTCCGCAAGGAAGCCCCCTTCAGGTGTGGACCCGGGGGATGATCTTCCTCTTGAGTTTCTGCTTTGGCTCTTGCAGCAGACAAAGGCTTGTTGCCAGCCTTCCCTCCATGTAGGTCCTTTGGTTACAGTGCAGTCCTAGGGTGGGCAGAGTTTAAGTCAGACTTGTCTGAATGACAAAGGCTGGATAACCACCCTCCCTTCAAGGAAGATTTAGAAGCTTCTTGTGCCCCTGGGTTAATGAGGGAAATGTAGGGGCTCATCAAGGAACTATGGTAAAATGATTAGGATTCTGAAGTTAGAATTCTGAATTCTCAGACTTCTGTTCTTTGCAGGGGCTTAAAAAGTGGTTGCTAGAAAACACACAGACACATATCACATTCGTGTGTCCTCACACACATTTTTCAAACTGGCTACTAGAATGTTTAAATAATGGTGGGAAGCATTTTAGTAATATAAGATTTTAGCAAAGGTTAGTGTCTGAGACATTTCTTTGCACTTGGTAATCCTGTGGTACCTCTCTGTTGACAATCATAGGTCTTGCATAAAGAAACCACCCTCAGGAAAGATAGCACCATTCATGTGTGTCCCATAGTGTACTCCTGGGATCAGGTCTATAGGGCATCAGCTTCCCAAGCACTGCTTAGCGTCCAGGTCTCACCCCAGAGGCAAAGCCATGTCTGAATAGCTAGGGAACCCCCCAGCCCCATCCCCTGCACTATGATCTATTTTCCAAGGCTAAATGTCTTGCTGTTGCTGCAGACTAAGAAATCTCCGGATGGAGAAAGCACACAGAAGGACTAAGAATCTTCTCCAGGTCTGCTACTCATGTCTATATCACATCAAGTTGTTTAACATCTTTATGCTCCAGATAATAATATTAGTCACTTCATAGGTTGTTACTGGAATTAACAAGATAATTGCTAAAAGTGTTGACTGCTGTACCCAGGATGTTGGTGTCCAGCTGTCCTGGTGGGCCACTATTCCAATTTTAGCTCTCAAAGTCTCATGTCTAAGCCTAATCTTTTTTTAAAATCAATTTTAGTTGACAGGTAATAATTGCACATCTACTGAAACACAGTATAATGCTTGGGCCCCTTTATACTCCGTGTAAAGATCAATTTGGAATATTAAGGCTATCCCTCATCTCAAACATTGTTCATTTCTTTGTGATGAAAAAATTTGACACCCTCTCCTCCAGCTGCTTTGAATCATATCATCCAGGCATATGCCATGATGCCTACATCCAGCCTTCTGGGTAAAGAACCTTCGCGTGCTTCCTTCCTTGGTCAGTCTATCTCTGTACCCCTTTATCCTCCACCCTCAGTAAGGGCCTGCTCTCACCACTCAATCATCTAATGCTTATTAAGCAGCTGCCACCTTCTAAGCACAGCCACTGCATCTACAAAACTCAAGACACTAAGCAGCTAAGAGACAAGCAAGAACAGGAGTCTAAACCATGTACAATATGAACATGTAAAGCTTGTAGCTCTATAGCAGGATGCTGCCATATAATCACCAAGAGTAGCTTTGAAAGCCTGCACTGTCTACCCTGTCCTGAAGATCCACTAAATTAGCCCTTCTGGGGCAAGATCTATGTGTCAGTATCAAGTGAGCTTCCCCCACTGCCCCCTACCACAATGATTTCTGTGCAGCGAAGTTTAAGAACCACTACCCTGAAGGACAGTAGCTGATTTTCTTTGAAGCAAATATGTAGGGACCTAGAATTTCAAATGACTGTACTTTATAGTTACTTTAGGGTGGCATACCTTTTTTCCAAAGAAATGTCTGTTGCTAAGAACACTTGTGGAACACACTGGGGGACCATTCTTTCAGAGCTCAAGCTGTATCTTTTGGGTCCTCCTTTGGGTATATAGTGGAAGTTCTAAGTTGAATCAGATTGTGAGGAGGCAACAACACAAATTGTGAGAGGCTGGTTTTAAAGGAAGCTCAGAGTTCATCACAACCATGTCAATGGCAGCCATAAACAAGCCTTTGTGTCAACTGTCTACTTAAAATGCTTCTAATGAATCCCATAGGTGCTTTGAGAAATATCTTCCAAGAATGACTGTTGGCCAGGAACCTACCATGGTGTCCTTTTGTAGGTCCATCAGAAGCATGGTAGCCATCGCTCATGTGCGTAGCATGTGTGTATTGATCAGCCGGCGAGCTATTTTATTTTCTTTCTATATGATCATTTTTCCTTCTTCATGCTCCTTCCCGGTGGCTGCCATGATGCTGTTACTCTTAGTTGGGCTTTCTAGATTCACATCTGTTAATTTCACATGCAGATGAATCTTCAGAGGAGAATTCTTCAAAAAGAGCTCTCACAACAGTTTGAGAAAACAAATGTTGCCAAAATTTTGATGTATTTCTCATCCAGAATTGTGGGGCTCTTGCTAAAGGGAACCTTAACAGGCATCAATTCATGTGTTGTTTGTTTTGTTCCTTACTTTGGTGTGTGTGCCTGTGTAAAATCTGTAGTCAAATGAGCACTTGTTCCTTTACATTTTGATCATTTATAGATCGTTTATAGATGCAGCAGACCCTGCTACATTCTCTGACAATACAAGTTTCTGTCCCCGAAGCTGTCTCTGCTCAGCTTCTCATGTCCTTGTCTTTGAGAAGGAAGAAGAAAATGAGTGTCTCATTAGGCCCTTGCCATCTGACAGGTGCTATGCAAAGTTGGGCTTCTGAAATTGAGATTCCCTCTCCGTGCCCAAGTCAAATGCTCCTTCTTCCTGTAGTTCTGAACTCTAAGACAGCTCAGCATATTTCTTAGCTGAGTTCCCACTCTTCATAATAATTGACTAAACTGTCATATTCAAATTCAAGGACCCTCTCCTGCTTTTTAAATCTGTGACAGATTCTACCAAAAGGAACGTTCCATGCTCTGTCATTCTCTTGCTCAGTCTTTGACCTTGAGCACCGGTTTCCTGACCTTAAAGAATGGTGCTGTGATAAGTCGTCTTTCTACCTTCTTCAAGGCCAAGGTAATCCAAGGATGTTCACAGCCTAGACAGTCTATCCTATGAGCTCCAACTCACAGGGGCCTCTCAGGGCTCTCAGCCGACCACCAGATTCTGTGAACAGCTGGCAAACCTTCCTGAAGATGCCCTCCACTAGACGCTGTGCACAACAGCAATGGGAAAGAACAGGTTTTCCTAGTGGCCTCATGCAGGAGCATGAGGGAAAGAGGAGCCATGTGTCCTGCTTGTAAAGTAGCTGTTGTCACTTTCAAAGCTGGAGAAAAGAGCCATATTGGTCATTCAGTTAGTACCAGGGATATAGCAAGATCCTAACATAAAGCTATGTCATTGGTTTGGCTTGCCTGACTTACTAGTTAACCTGACTCATTGGTATGATTTAGGATTTTGTAGAGTAGATGGGCTTGGCCTCAACAATCGAGTTAGCTAAGAATTATAAGGGTACTAGAAAATTTTAGAAATACACATCCTCTGACATCAACAGCTGATAGTCTTAGGGATAACTTCAAAAATTAGTAATAAGACACCTTCTTGGTACCATCTTTAGCTGAAACTGCTCACACATCTTGAGAAACATAGTAATTCAGCCAATGGCAAGTAAGTTCCCTTTGCAATTAATTGAGGGATCTGGATGCAGAGATCCATGACTAGGCCCTGGGTGGATCTCTGGGAGTCCAATTAACGAGAATGAGGAGGGTTTATATGAGCGAGAATTGTTGAGACCAAGGTTGGATAAAGCACAGGGACAAATAGCCAAATGAATGGAAACACATGAACTATGAACCAATGGCTGAGGGGTCCACACTGGATCAGGCCCTCTGAATGGGTGAGACAGTTGATTGGCTTGATCTGTTTGGGAGGCATCCAGGCAGTGGGACCAGATCTTGTGCTCATTGCATGAGTTGGCTGTTTGAAACCTGGGGCCTATGCAGGATTGTTTGGCTCGGCCTGGGAGGAGGGGACTAGACCTACCTGGACTGAGTCTACCAGGTTGACCTCAGTCTGTGGGGAAGGCTTTGCCCTGGAGGAGATGGGAATGGGGGGGGGGGGGCGTTGGGGGGAAGGTGAGGGGGACGGGAGGGGGGAGAACAAGGGAATCCGTGACCGATATGTAGAACTGAATTGTATTGCAAAATAAATTAAAATAAATTAAAAAAAAAAAGCAATTAATAATCAAAGTGGAAAGCAAGGATGTTCTATAAAAAGTAAACATGGACCAAAAGGCACAATGGCTGAAAGTAAAAGACATCGAGTGAGTACAGGAGAGATGCAGGAGCTGGGACATGAGGGTAGAGAGTAAGACATGGAGTGAGTACAGGAGAGATGCAGGAGCTGGGACATGAGGGTAGAAAGTAAGACATGGAGTGAGTACAGGGGAGATGCAGGAGCTGGGACATGAGGGTAGAAAGTAAGACATGGAGTGAGTACAGGGGAGATGCAGGAGCTGGGACATGAGGGTAGAGAGTAAGACATGGAGTGAGTACAGGAGAGAGGCAGGAGCTGGGACATGAGGGTAGAGAGTAAGACATGGAGTGAGTACAGGAGAGATGCAGGAGCTGGGACATGAGGGTAGAGAGTAATACATGGAGTGAGTACAGGGGAGATGCAGGAGCTGGGAAATGAGGGTAGAGAGTAAGACATGGAGTGAGTACAGGGGAGATGCAGGAGCTGGGACATGAGGGAAGAGAGTAAGACATGGAGTGAGTACAGGAGAGATGCAGGAGCTGGGACATGAGGGTAGAGAGTAAGACATGGAGTGAGTACAGGGGAGATGCAGGAGCTGGGACATGAGGGTAGACAGAGAGGACCAGGTGACCATGACTGAGAAGTTGGAATATGGAAGCACAGCCTTTCAGATGTACAATGGGCTTTGTTCTGACCATATTCAATGTACCTGACCTACCAAACACCACAGCTAGCAACACAGTAGGACACAGAAGGTCAGTTGTGTCTCTCATGATCACATGCCTGGTTTCTGGCACCTGCTCTCTAACATCATGAAGGAGGACTGAACCACAAGCCTATTGCTAGCCCAAAAG